GTAAGGCCTGCTGAGCTATATAGCTCTTTTTCAGAAGCGACCTGGCCACAAGTGATAGCTCAGCGAAGTAGCTTATCATGTAGGCATCATGTTTGGGATCGAACCTACGACCTCCTGTATACCAGGCGAGGTAGTTAACATCTCGCCACCGCGGTGCTCTTGTGCAGAAGTGCGGGAGGCTTGGGTGGTTGGGGAGCACAAGTATCTGACATTAGGTAGTTCGGGGATATCACTGAGTCATGGGGTTTCCACGTCTGAGGAACAAAAACAAAGAAGTGTCACAGGAAGGAGGACATCCCACAAGACCAGACTAGGGACAATTACTTGTAACTGACAACAATTGGGCTATTAATGTTTCATGTTCTTAAAATACTTACAGATTTCCCAGGACGGCTACCCTTAAAGTGGGACGATCCTTGGAATACCATAACAGGTGGCAACTCAACTCGGTCCCCTTCATTGTCCGATACCCCATTGATTCCAGGGGTCACTGGGTTCGTTGCACTGGGCTTAAACACAATATAATAACAATGCCAAGCCGGGCGTGGTGGCACACGCCTGTAATCCAGCACTTTGGAGGTGGGATTGGTGTATTGTGTTGTGGGAGAGCCACCCAACTTGCTGAGTTATGCTGTGGACAAACATCAGCAGTCATGATCAATCCACTGCCAGATAAACTCAAAACTAAACTATAAACAATTATTTTTGTATTTTACCAGGTAAGGCCCACTGTGCTATAGAGCTCTTTTTTAGGAAGCGACTGGCAACACACGATAGCTCAACAAAGCGGCTTATCATGTGGAAATGTACCGCAGCCAAATACTCTAAAACGCATGATTCTAAATGTGGAGGGAAAAACCGGAAGACACGGAGAGAAATCCACGCGACCACTGGGTAATCGTCAAGGTCGGGATCGAACCCACGACCTCCTGTATACCAGGCGAGGTAGTGAACATCTCATCAGGGTCGGGATCGAACCCACGACCTCCTGCATACCAGGCGAGGTAGTGAACATCTCATCAGGGTCGCGATCGAACCCACGACCTCCTGTACACCAGGCGAGGTAGTAAACATCTCATCAGGGTCGCGATCGAACCCACGACCTCCTGTATACCAAGCGAGGTAGTGAACATCTCGCCTCCACGTGCCATCGCGACATTTTGGGGCATGTTCACCCCCTCGGCTGCCACAAAGTTGCCGGTCTCGACCGCCGGCCCATCATACCTCACTAAATTATTGACTCAAATTCGATGTCCTTAACCTGCGTATGTTTTCCGATCCGCGTGTTCCTCGTTCTGCCCCTCGATGTAATTACAAGCAGTCAACTCTCCACGCGCGTCTCTGTGCACCTTTGAGTTGTGCTCTATTGTCCTCGTTTAACGTCCGTATTTCTGCACAAGGTAATGAAAAGTAGGTTGCTTGCGTATCCGTTGAGCGTTGAGTCGGAGCGTCGTCCTGTCATACGCATGTGTGTATCTATGTTGAACTTCTTTCTCACCGTACGTAGCTAACTGTGCTAATCGGAGGTGCGGGGGAAGGACAACACTAAACACAAAAATCAAGAAATTAGTTTTCAATGGAGATGATTTAAAAGTGCATAGCTCCAGTAGCTTACTAATATCGGGTGCTCTGTTTTTTTTACGCACACCCAAACATAATTATCAATAATAGCTGGCCAAACATGCTGAGCAGGAACCCACTGACAAACAGTGTTAAGACTCAGTGAGGCTTCCCTGGGTAAATCAATATGATTTAACACGTAGGCTTTCGCGACCAATATTATGATTAATAATTTTTGCGTCAGGTTGCGTTCGTAAAATGTCATACACCCTCCTTCGCTCGTTATCACGTGAACAATCGTGCTAATTTATCACTGCAAACTCAGCACCAGTGCGTCTTTGGAGAGCGATCCACACACAGCACTTAACAATTGGGTAGAAAGATGATTCTGGCAACTGCCTGATGATTTTGGGTGTAGCTACCAGCACACACAAAGTGCGTGCCACAAATGCACCACAACATGTTGCTGATCTCGTCATGGAGCATAAACCATCACGCAAACTCCGGTCATCCTCACAGAAGCTGCTTTTGGCTAACCATAGAACAAAGAGGGTCACTGTATTGCGTGCTTTCAGATGCGCTTCTGCGGCCGTCTGGAACGCTCTTCCTTCCGATATTAGGAATCCACTGGACCTCTGCACTTTTAAATGATCGAGATTGATAACTCATTAGAACTGATTTTTTGTTTAGAGTGTTGTCCTTCCCCCGCACCTCCGATGAGCAACGTTGGCTACGTACGGTGCGAAAGAAGTTCAACATTCGTACACACATGAAATCGTCTGAAAACGCAATTGCTGAACGTGTTGAGCATGGACCGCTCTCCAACAATGCACCGGTGGTGCTGCTCATGAAGCAGTGATACATTATCCACGTTTGTTCGTCACGTGACATGATTACTATCACTGTTGCTAGGCCAACAATAGCAGGGGTTGTTTGATCGTCACCGAGTGACAGTATCAGGAAATATTGAAGATGGTCATTGAGCTCCAAATTTTCGCATTATCTAAAAACGAGTGGAGAAACCCTGGTAATATTTGTTGGCCATTAAGGTGTTCCGTCGGTTTACCGAAGCACCAACTTAATACACTATGTAAAAATAATTTGGTGATATGTAAAATCCTTAAGCATGCAAGTGCATGTCATGCACGCATTTGTGTATGTACGTTTAACGCACCGTACGTAGCCAACCGTGCTAATCGGAGGTGCGGAATAGGACACCTGGTCTGAAACCCCCTGAACAGGACAAAAATGCGTTGTTAAGAGTCGTGGAGGTCCCATTCCTGATCAGCATGAGTTCGCATCCTGGCCATGGTTGATCTCTGCCCCACCACCATCGCAATCATCGTGATAATCACCATCATCATAATTTCTTAAGGATAAACACAATGAGTTTCCCTCGATGAAGCTGTTACGTTTAGTGGGAATTTAACAGTGGTTGTGTTAAGAATAGACTGAGCCTACTCATAGTATTGTGGAATTTCCACGCCTCAGGACAAGGAAATGATGACCATGTGATATTTGTTTGAGCATGAGGACAGCGATGTGTGTAAAACCCTCCACAGCAATCTCATCTCTATACGTTATTTCACTTTCTGTCAATATCCACATGATGCGATGGAAATCCTAATTTTATTTAATGTCCAGGAAATTGTGTGGCAATTTGAAGGGCTTCATTTCTCACCAAATGTTTTCTACGTTGGCAATAAACTGGAGTAGGCACGTGACGAGTAGCGACAGCCGTAGCAAGAAGTATACTGGACGTGGTGCGTCGTGTGCACAACTGCGGCTGCCCGGATATGACGCGATTGATATAGAACCCTGACGGTGCGCAAATTTTTTTGTGTATAAAAGGTCAGCATGTGCGGTAGCGTCCACATACAAAACGTTTTATAACAAAAAATATATATAATGCAACCTTTGCAGTTTATTATCCTCTTGATCTTTGGAGAATATCGGATGGGTCTTTTTGTTTATTTGCATGCGCGCCATTTATTTATTTAATTGAATCTAAAACTGTGGACAAATTCATCACGTGGGCAGCAGGAAGAGAGCTCGGAGGAGGCAGCGCGTTAAACATCTCTCGCTCGCCCCGACAGCCCGGCTTCCTGCCCGGAGCTGCGCCGACTCAGAGTCTCGCGCTCGGAGCCACGGTGTTTACAGCAGCCCAGGGCCAGAGCAGGGTGGGTGTGTGTGCTTGTGTGAGTGAGTGGGTGGGTGGCTGTGTTGCTGAATGTGTGGATGAGTGAGTGGGTGTGTGGATGCATGGGTGGGTGAGTGACTCTGTATGAGTGAGTGCGGGTGATTGAGTGCGCAAGTTTGTGGGTGGGTAGGTGAGTGTGTAGTGGATGGGTGAGTTTGTCGGTGAGTATTTGGGTATATGCGAGTGACTGCGCGGGGCAAGTGCGTGGTTAAGTGCGTTGCTGAATTTGTGTGTTTGAGTGAGTGGGTGCGGTGCTATGTGGGAGTGTGCATGTGGGTGGGTGAGTGCGTCCATGAGCTGGTGTGTTTTGTGCATGAACGTGTGGATGAGTTAGTGGAAGAGTGTGTACCATTGAGTGTGTGATTGTATGCGTGTGTAGGTGTGTGCATGGGTGAGTGGGTGTGTGAGTGGGTGAGTGTATGGGTGGGTGAGTGCGTGGGTGAGTGAGTGGGTGAGTGTCTGTTGAATGGTAAAGGGAGACCTGGGTTACAGCCAACGCCCACCCATTCTCGCCAATGCGACCTCACGGGCGGGTGACGAGCGGTTTCATGTAACTCGGGTGTCCTTTCTTGACCTGGCCACATGTCCCACACACAGGAAAATAAGTTATATCCTTTCAGTCAGGCACAGTGCCTTGTCTCAGCATACAATGTGACTTGTCTCAGCAGGCATTAACATTGACTTATCTGACCGGCTAAGCATATTGATTTATCTGACCAAATATTATGCTGGTAATTCACAGTTACGCATCAGAAAAGTAAGTTCATAGTATTAAGAGAAAAGTCTCCAATGACTGGCATAACTAGTACTAACGTAACTCGCAAAGCGAACACTTTGCAAACACCACACTGGCTTCTTCAACTGTACCCTACAAGCTTCTCTACCCCTCGTATCTGAAAGTCCTTCAAAGGTTCTAACACTTAGTGTAAACCTTCTCAGATTCTCCGCCATTCCCTAAACTGTGCAGCAAGCACAAAAACAAAGGAAATCTCCCCACATTGTTTTGTCCTCGGCAATGCGATGTCTATGTCGCCAGTGTTTATAAACCATGCTGCTGGGAAGATCAAGTTCATGTGCGCTCCTGGTGGCGAATGATAAGTCGTAAATATTGAACATCCTCGGTTTGCCAAAGGAGTGATCCTCATGCATGATTTGCAAGCTTTTAGGTAATTTTGTCACAAACAGGAATGATTTAAACAAGCACATACTACATGTAAAACAAAATAATGATGACACTTTGTTTAGTTCAGCATAAAAGTTTATTGGCAAAGCCATGAACATATTTTCTACTTTTAAGACCAGAAACACAAGCCCCATTTGTACGAGCTGCATCAGGCCTTCTGGCGATCCCCTCTTACGCACGATGCTAAGTTAGCCTAATAAAGTGCAAACAGACATTTGTTTCAATCGTCTCATTATCACTACGAATAAGTGTGGACCATGTATAAATTAGTGCACGCGCGTTGTCCACACCACACATCTGCTCGGTAACAGATAGGTTTTCCTCAAAAGGGAGACCTAACAGGGAAACTTCAGCACCCACACAAAGCGCCTGGAGCTTCTACTGTGAAGGCTCACACTGCTGTAACACAGCGCCTGGAGCTTCTACTGTGAAGGCTCACACTGCTGTAGCAGAGCGCCTGGAGCTTCTACTGTGAAGGCTCACACTGCTGTAACACAGCGCCTGGAGCTTCTACTGTGAAGGCTCACACTGCTGTAACACAGCGCCTGGAGCTTCTACTGTGAAGGCTCACACTGCTGTAACACAGCGCCTGGAGCTTCTACTGTGAAGGCTCACACTGCTGTAACACAGCGCCTGGAGCTTCTACTGTGAAGGCTCACACTGCTGTAGCAAAGCGCCTGGAGCTTCTACTGTGAAGGCTTACACTGCTGTAGCAGAGCGCCTGGAGCTTCTACTGTGAAGGCTCACACTGCTGTGACACAGCGCCTGCAGCTTCTACTGTGAAGGCTCACACTGCTGTAACAAAGCGCCTGCAGCTTCTACTGTGAAGGCTCACACTGCTGTAACAAAGCGCCTGGAGCTTCTACTGTGAAGGCTCACACTGCTGTAGCAGAGCGCCTGGAGCTTCTACTGTGAAGGCTCACACTGCTGTAACAAAGCGCCTGGAGCTTCTACTGTGAAGGCTCACAAGGCTGTGACAAAGCGCCTGGAGCTTCTACTGTGAAGGCTCACACTTCTGTAACAAAGTGCCTGGAGCTTCTACTGTGAAGGCTCACACTGCTGTGACAAAGCGCCTGGAGCTTCTACTGTGAAGGCTCACACTGCTGTAGCAGAGCTCCTGTTTTAATGCTTGAACAGGTCAAAACAGCCACGGAAGTCGCGGACACGTCAGTTCACGTGAGAGAAAAAAATATCTATTAAATGGCAGGATAGTGTGATCTGTGCCACATTCTTTGAAATTCCAAACAGGTGTGGCTAAATTGTATAAGATGTACTTGCGTATTTATAGTGTGCATTTCTGTACATCACTTTAAACAGTATTATGCATGCACATTTACATAATCGGCATGGTAAATGTAAAATATTAATTGTTCATTTATAATGGTAGAAATACAGTTAGAAATACTGCGTACAACACTGTCAAACACCCAACTTTTAAGGGTATAGTGGGAAGCAAAGAATCAACTCTGTGACAAGTGACCTGACCAGATGTCCGGTATGAGCTGTCATCTTCATGACTAGGGCCAAATGGGGCTAATGCATTTCTGAATTTCATCCACATCTGCATTGCCTGTGAATGTTGACTTGTGGATAAGAGATTTTTTTGGGGTAAAATCGCGTAAATATGAAAGTGTCGTTAAAACCCGCCATCATCCGGCACAGCCATTTCTATAAAGTTTGTCGCTTAAACAAAACATGCCAATTAGTTACTACTTCAGCCCGCTGGTGTGTTGGAGAGTAAACACAAATTGGGTTTACTCTCCAACACACCAGTGTGCTGAATGACCGGGCATCACCCTCCCCCCACCACCACTGCGCCACCCTGCTATTTTGGCGGCTTGCGCTTTCTGCTGCCGCCGCCACCGCCGCCGTGCGTTGGTGCCGTGCGTCCGTTGAGCTCGCCGGGGAGCGAGGAGCCAGGTGTGGGCGAGGAAGCAAGCGTGTCGAGACGGGCCTCCATGAGGAGAAACGTCGCCCGGATCTCGGACAGGGCCACTTCGCATGCCGTGAGGATCTGCACGGAGATCGCTTCCCTCAGCACCAGGGCAAGCGTCTGCACGCCGAGACGGGAGTGAGAGCGTTAGCCGATGCGCGGCACAACACATTCATGACTATTAAGTCTTACTGGGCTCTCAAGTGGCTTTAAGTTTATGTTATGTCATGTGACATTTCACGGTTGGCATGGGTCATGGTGAAAGGAGATATATGGAGCACCCTGCCCAATTTACCTCTTCTTTGTAGCCTGTTACCTGGGCCCCTCCAGCCTGTGGGTGCAGTAGCACCCTCTGCACACTCTTGCTAAGCTACTGCTCCCTGTTACCTATCTTGTTGGCAGCTCTGAGCCAGTTCGTGGAAATCCCACATATCTAAGGCTGGTTCCTTCCATAGAGCAACCACTTTTGACCCAAGATAGATGAAGGGTCGAGTTACCTCTGAGTGACCTCACAAACATCTAACTCCGAGCTGCACCCTCTGACAGCTTCGCTCAGCTGGTTTGAAATAACACTGACGCTAACGCCTGTGCAAAGCTCACCTCTGCGTCCACCGTCTCTCCCTCCTGCACCGAGAGTCCAGCCAGGACCTTCTCCAGCTGATCCCGGCCCTCACCGCGCAGTTCCTCCTGGCGAACCCGCGCGTCGGTGCGCACGCGCACCTCTGCTTCCTCGAGACGCTCAGCCTCGCGCCGCCGTCGCTCAGCAGCGCCCTCCTCCATGCCGTGCTGCAGCGGCGGCATGGGGAGCGGCACCTCCACCTCCAGGTTCAAGGGTGGCGGGCGGCTGGCAACAGAGGCAGTGAAGGTGCCGCGCAGGAGGGCGGCGCGCCACAAGCGGAAGTGCGGTACATACGTGGATGAAAAGAAGTGGAGGACCACGCGGGCCGGACGGCCAGACCCCAGGCAGCCGTGCACACGCTCCTTCAGGCTCCTCAGCACCTCCTCCTGTGACAGCTCTAGCAAGGAGGCAGCAGCAGGGCCCAATGGCGTAGAGCAGTTGCCATGGTCCCAGATTCAAGGAATTAACATTGACCCTCCTGTCCAATGTCCCACCTTTTTGTATCCTGGTGCCTGGGACCCTCCAGCCTGTGGCTTCTGGTACAGTGGCACTGTCAGCACACACTTGTTGTAGCTATGCCAATGGGCAAGTTTTCAGAACTGAAATATTCGTGTACCAATTTCATCTATTCAAGAGCCGAATGGCTCACAGGGCTATACCAAATAAATAAACTATGAACTATGATGAACTATGATCTATTTCCAAATAATCCAAGTACAAGTGGCTGGGTGGCTCAATTTGGTTATAGTGGGCCAAGGTACTGAACTGCTATGATTGAGATCCTGGGTTTGAATCTGGGCAACATCCATAATTAATCGAGATTCTTAAGTGTAGTGACTTGATTGTCTCAGCCCAATTACCATTCATTGTACAAAACACTCATTGATTTTTATGTTTTCACTTAATTTGGCATATGAGAGCTCTGAGGTCTACACCACACATTTAAATTCAAGAGCATGTAATAGGTGCTGTGCTGAGAGTTTCATAGTTTAGTTTCATAGTTTAATTTATTTGGTATAGCCCTGTGAGCCATTCGGCTCTTGCATCGGGTGCAACCGCAACAAACAAAAAACAAAAACATGAACAAGAAAACATCTTAAAGTGACTATGTGACTGTGCAAACAGAAAATCCAGGAACAAAACATCTACATATTCCTAAAATAGCACCGTACACCAACGCTGTGTGCAAAAATCCCAGTGGGATGCAAGTCAAACAACAACAACCACAAGACAACTAAGATTAAGGCCATCAGTCTAACTCCGTATTATGATAAACAAAAACATGGCCAAACCAAAAAACTTTTCGAAATCACCAAAATAAAGCCATAAATGCAATGTAACAGTGATCATAGGGACTGTGACCGAATTTTTAACAATAAACTACATAAATAACATGTAACACCAAACCCTAGATCCATAGCTAGCTGCATGAGTCACTCCACAACAACAGGAGCATCAGTCGGAGTATCACATTTTTCAATGCACCTTTAAGATCAGCACACTAAATCAAAATACAGTTAATACTTTGCAGCGGTCATCCGGAGCGAAACATTTTATTTTATTTTAGGCCACTGAATAGCAGTGGCAGCTAGGGGTGTACAACTCCACTAGAGCAGTTTTGAGTGAAGATCTCATAGGTAGTGATTCAAGTTGCAGTTTATTGGCAATAGCATTCCAGACCCTGAGGGCATCAATAGCAAAGGTTTTTGTACAGCAATAAGGAATGTGAAGCTGGTAAATGAGCGAAGACCTGAGGTAAAATTTGTTCTTTGAAACAGAGAGGAGATCCAGCAGGTAGTCTGTGGATTTTTTTGTAAGTACATCGTCAATAAATAAGATCTGGGGCACAAGTCGTCGAACATTAAGAGATGTTAAGTTTGACCCAATGTAGAGATCACAGTGGTGAGTCCTATATGGGCAGTTCAATACAAATCTTAAGGCCGAGTGATAGATGGAATCAAGCTTCTTCAGTAAATTACTTGGGGCTGATTTATACACGATATCACAGTAATCAAGTAGAGGCAGTATGGTAGCTTTTATCAATTCCAAACAGAACATAGGGGGGAAGCAGTGCTTGTGTCAATACAGAAAACCAATTTTTATTTTTGTCTTTTTACCAATATAATCAATGTGATCTTCAAAATTCAGTTTTGAATCCAGGATGACCCCAAGATACTTATAGATATTGACTTGCTCTATTTGATAATTATTGAAGGAATGTAATTGGGGAAAAATAACTTCCTGCTCTAGTCCCGGTGAGAAGCATAGCACCTTGGTTTTGGAGGTATTCAGGACTAGTTTAAGAGCAACTAGCTGATGTTGTAGTTTGTTGAAATCACCCTGGAGCTTAGCAATCACGTCATCCGGAGAGCGGCCAGCAGTAATCAGTATCGTGTCATCTGCAAAAAGATTTACCCTGGAATGATCCAGGTCAGTGCCCAAGTCATTGACATAAAGAGAGAACAAGAGGGGGCCGAGGATGGAACCCTGTGGAGCCACTTTTGTTATCTAAACACTGTTTGACCTCCAACCATCTGTGAATACAGTTTGGGTGCGAGAAAAGAGGTAATTTTTTTTACCATTTTATTGTGTTTTCGGAAACACCGAGGCAACTTAGTTTACTAAGCAGGGTGTTGTGGTCTACTGTATCAAAAGCTTTGGACAGGTCAAGAAAAAGACAGGCACAGTACTGCTTATTATCAAGGCTACTGTAAATTTAATTCAGAGAGTTGGGGACTGCGTCACACAGGTGCTGTTGTGCAGTCCTGAGTCGGTGAGGCTTTCATTGGTAAATACATGGCAATACATCTCTACTATAATTTATTATTAACAGCTATTTGAAATCACTACACAGTGCAAGTTGCAAAGGGCGTGTAAGATGTGCTGGTTTTGAGAAGTGGGAAGCCTGCGACATACGTGTGGTGTCGTGCAGCAGGGCCAGTGTCAGTGAGGCCACGAGGGGTAGGCAGGCCCAGGGCAGGCCCCGTGTAGAGCAGTGAACCAACGTGTCCAGAACACAGTCGAGGGCCAGCGCTCTCCATGGCTCGGTCTCGCACTGCCGCTCCGTCCAACCCAGACCAGTGCGAAGCACAGACACTCCCAGCGCTGGCTGCAGACAAAAGAGTCCATGGAGTGCAGTGGATTCGAAATGCAGCTGCTCAATTCGTTTGAATGCATCCTGACAGTCAGTTATAGAATAATTGCATTAATTGCCAGTGAAAGAACACATCGCTATTAACATCCTACTCCTTTTGCTTTTGTGATGAAGGAATTTAAATTTTGAACTTCCGCAGCAAGCAGTGACGCATCATCGCACGTAAAATATAGCCTCCAGAAAATGACACTGAAGGACGAATTCTGAGGTTCTGTTGTCTCCTATAAAACAATGTCTAGTGCATTTTCTCACATGTCCTACTACAGACGTGTTTGTCACTTGACAATCAGTTTATTTAAATTTCCTTCAGCCACCAGAGCTGGAAAAGGCTTAATAAAGTGCGGTTATTAGTAACTGGGTTAAATCCATCAACTCATTGCATGAACCTGGTTTAATCATGGGCAGCTGCCCAGATTCGAACCCAGGATCTCATTAGTGTTGGCTCATTCTCTGAATTCGTATTTGCTGAGTCACGTGACCAGATAATCACCAGATGTTAAATCTATGGGCTTGCTCCTACATATCTGACTGAACCCAGCACACTGGACAAGCCATCCTCTTTCTCGTGGTAGACCCATCAAACCAATGGGTTTGTACTGCAATACGGATGACGGAACTTTTGTCGAACTTGCCAAACAATTTTAGAACCATTTCTATTCTGAAAGTCACGTTTCAAAACATGTCTCTTTTATTAGAGATGTTCTTATTTGAGTGCAATTTAATAGAAAAGTATGTATTGCATGTGGTTTAATGCAGCGCTAGGGTGAATTTGAATGACAGCAGTTCAATGTGGTGTGGTAGATGTAAGATAGCATGGTTTTTATTTAAAGAAACGCGTAGTATAACTGTGAATGAGTATTTTTATAATAATCGGGGGCAATAAAGTGAGTGATATGAGACCTCAATCATTTCCCCGCATTTTGTAATTCCTGGAATTGTTTTCCATATAAAATACAGTGAATGGATGGGGCCATTTCCTTATTTGGTGTAAATCTGTTCATGTTTTTCAAGTCATGCAGTGGTGTGGTGGTTGGTGACAGTGTCATTGTCACTACTGAAGGCTCTTCTGACCTTGGTGATGCTATGAATACTCAGGGTCCAACTACCCCACTACATTTGCAAATGTCATTTGTAATTTTGATCCTTACCTGTGTATCGATAGTTCAATTTTAATTTGTCATTTTATTGAGGGACTGCGTGTAATCTTCGTGTGGTCTGAGACTGTTTTGTTGTTTTTGCTGCCTTGCCCAAGTGTGATCAATCTGACTTCTATAATGAATGTATGTATTCATATTTAGTGACTTGCTTACCATTTTCACTATTTTGCACTCCTATCGTTTTTTTGTATTGTTTTTTTTGTTGTCACTTGCTGACCCGCCAATACTGGACGTCTGTGAAAAAGAGCTTCATAGTTCATTAGATTCTTCGAGTCCAAATCAAGATTCTGATCCTCATTCTGACCCTACTGTGATGTTATTGTCACTACAGGAGGGAGACTCCTGTCTTGACCAGACCAGAACCTCCTTAGCCACCACTTTCCGAGGACTTGTACTCATAACGTTGCCAATCTTTCATGATGGCGACAGGGAAATGGATATGATTTTAACAACCCCATTAGTTTTCCTTCTTTAGAGCCTCATAGCTTTTCCAAATGCCGACACTACCGTGTTCAACCCAAGGGTGGGGCAAGAGTTTAGGCTAGAGTCTTGTTAAATAGTGTGGCTAGAGTTATCGTTGGAGCTAGTATTTGGTTTGCTCATGTGGTTAACTATAGGGGTATGGATAGGTTGTGGTTGTTAGGGCTCGGGACGTTAATTAGTGTGATTCGTGTCTGGCTGATGTGGTAAGTGTTCGAGCTACAATACGTTTGGCTAGTAACAGTTGGGGATGGTGCTAATGGCTGTTCTAAGTGGTGGTGTTTTCGGGGATGGTTAACCAGTGTGTTTAGGGACAGAGATAGTGTTAGGAGTGGTTGACCAGTGTGGTTAGAATTAGCAGTGAGACTTAGGGCTTGTCCATTAAATGTGCTCTGCCCTATTACAGTTTGCCGCTTCCCCTATTAACCGAGAACGGCCTTTTCACTTGCCATGCTCTTTTCACTTTGGATATTCACAGCGCCAGCATGCCGACCTAGCTGCATGTGCACCACATCTCTACCTCGCTCTGCTGCTCTCTGGAGTTCAGGCCACCACAAGCAGCACAAACACTCCTAGCACCGTCTGCACGCACGGCCAGGAAGCAGCTAATTTGCGTATGGTGGGTTCACAATGCACGTCGCCCAATATCGCTACACTGGGCCAGTCACGCCCTGATTATTATGTTGAGTTTGGCACATTATTCATTTCACAATGGAGCCTCTTGGGGCCGGCACAGAGCTCAAGGGGTGCACCGAGGGGCACACTAAAGTTCAGAGGGCATCTATTATTTTCAGCCATGGGCACTATTTTTGATGTATTTCTTTTGTTACTATGGTAATTCTTCTTAACCAGATACTCATTGGAAATTAACAGTTCTTTATTTATATGTATAAAAAAGCATCAATATAGTCTTAAGTTGAAGCTTTCGTGACTGCAGAAATTACTATACTCATTGTTTTTTTTCGGTAAAGTCACGTATGTAGAAATAAAATAAAATGTAACTAAATTAAATTAAAATAAATCACGATGTTTCGAAACGTGCGTAATGTCCCCCTATGTGTTCCCTCGCTATGTGTTTTACCCCATTTCCACCTGATGATGATCGCTTGTGTTGCGTTCGAAACGTCGTGATTTATTTTCATTCAATTTTATTTAGTTAAATTTTATTTGATTTCTGCATACGTGACTTTATAGTCTTAAGAATAAAATTTTGAGGGTTCTGCTGGGAATACTTGGCCAATTCCCAAATGAATTTGCATTTGGGATTAAACCAGGGTGGTTGGAGGAAACCTATGCGACACTAAGATTTTAAAAGTTATAATTATAATTCTAACGTATAAATAAATTATCAGTGCAGATTCCCTACAGCAGGGTTTAGAGAGTGGGGAGGCATTGTATAGGCAGGGACCTCTCACACAGTCTGTGTTAATCAAACAGCGACTTTGTGTAAAAAGAGTGAACACTAAAGAGTACAGCAATACAATTACATTGAACTTGTGTTCAACCTGGTTAGAATCAGCAGTGCTGAGTTGGAGATCCACTGTTGGCTGCACGAGACCCCCCCCCCTCCCACAGAGTGTATGTTGATGCACGAAATGGTACGTATTCGGTAGGGATATACTCTTGATTTAATTTAACCTGGAGAAGAGTCGATAGCATAACGAACGTTGGTATACAGCTGTGTGGGCCAGCACAAGAAATGGCGTGACCTGTCATAGACACGGCACGGGCCACTATGAAGCAGGGTCTAAGCGTCACGGAGCAAGGGAGGCCAACGTTATCTAACAGTGGTTACCCTCATAAGCAGTGACCGATGTTTTATAACATAACGATGGCGAATGGGTTACAATTAACGAAACACGTGGGTTCTCACAATAAATGTTATGAACAATAGATTGTTTGGTTAGGCAATGTAATTATTTTGTTACAATTAAAACAGTTTTTCAGTAAATGTCCCTTTAACATGAGCAAATTAACTGCCATTGCCACTATTGTTTATTACAACAATGGTTAATTCGATGTCATGGGCTTGCAATGGTTAATTCTCATGCTCGAAGTGGTCATGGTAACAATAGTTAATCGATTGCCCTGGTAACAATGGTTAACTATGCACGTAACAGCGGTTAACTGGTTATCGTGCTAACAATAGTTAATCGATTACCCTGGTAACAATGGTTAACTATGCACGTAATAGCGGTTAAATGGTTATCGTGCTAACAATAGTTAATCGATTACCCTGGTAGCAATGGTTAACTATGCACGTAACAGCGGTTAAATGGTTATAGTGCTAACAATAGTTAATCGATTTCCCTGGTAACAATGGTTAACTATGTACGTAACAGCGGTTAACTGGTTATCGTGCTAACAATAGTTAATCGATTACCCTGGTAACAATAGTTAACTATGCACGTAACAGCGGTTAACTGGTTATCGTGCTAACAATAGTTAATCGATTGCCCTGGTAACAATGGCTAACTATGCACGCAACAGCGGTTAAATGGTTATCGTGCTAACAATAATTAATCGATTACCCTGGTAACAATGGTTAACTATGCACGTAACAGCGGTTAGCTCGTTAACAGCGGTTAATTAATGGTCACGGTAACAATGGAACCACCGCTGTGGCCGTCAGTAACGTGCTGTTTATTATCAATATTCATCGATACTTTCACTGCCCCTTTAACCTATGGCCCTAGGCTATCAATCTTAACAGCTTTTATTTGTTTATTTATCGATCAATCTCCTCACTTCGAGTCGCACGGCAGAGCGTGCCTCCGCCTCGAGCAGCGTCCTCGTCCTCGCCATGGCAACCGCCGACGCGATGGCGTCACGCGTTTGGTATGACGTCATCGCGTCGCGGAGTCGCGCCTCGGCGACATGACGTCACTTGCGACACTGTCAACATTCACAAAAGGTATCAGAATTGTTGATTTCCACCGGAGGAAATTCCGACGAGCTATGCAGCTGTTCTTCGCGAATGTTCCAATAGGTGGCGCGTAGGAATGCTAGAACGAACAATGCACAAACACGAGAGTAGTGCAAAGTATAAGAAAGATCATTAACATATCACCCAAAAATATATACAAATAAAACGAAACCATCCCCATTCTACCAGGAAAAGCCCACTGAGGTATAAAGGACCGTCCATAAATGACATCACGCGATTTTGGACGATTTTTGACCCTCCCCCGTTCGTCACACGGCGTCACAAGTCAGACCCCCCCTCAAATATGACGTCACAAATCTCTGCCCCCCCCCAAAAAACCATGCTTAACATTGCTTTAAACTATTGTCATTGTAGTGCGTATTTAATGTGGCGCTGCACTCTGATGTAGGAGAAAACATTTATTAAAAAGTTTATTTAAGTAGAACGTGTTGCCACTTTTTTCAATTTTCTTGCTGTGGTTTTCACACCTGATGATGATTGCTTGTGTTGCAGTCGAAACGTCGTGAGAATTTTATTGTTTTATATTTTTATTATTTTATTGTTTCCCTTCTGCGTGACTTTACCGAAAGAACCAAGAATATAAGTAGAACGTGTTGTTTATATTTATTTAAAGTTGCGCATTTTGACGTGACGTCACATTTTTCAAACACCCTCCTCCCCCCCTCGTCACACATCGTCACAAATGTCTGACCCCCCCCCAGGTGCGTGACGTCATTTATGGACGGCCCCTAAACTTATTTTACAGAAGCGACCTGACCACACAACAAAGTGGTTTTTCATGTGGAAATTTATAGCAGCTAAATAATCTAAATAATGTAAATGCCGCTTATCTAGCGTCACGTCTCCCCGGCGGAACGTCACTCTTTATCTAAATGTCGCGTCTCATTGGTGTGACGTCACTCTTATCTAATTGGAACCTCTCGGTATGACGCCACTCGTAACTAAATGTTATCTCGATATGACGTCACTGAGGAGCTCTGACCAGTGTGGAAGGGGCTCTAGAGGCTACCCCGCCAGCAGTGGCGCGAGCGAGCAATTGCCAGGGCCGTTTGTACCTGCTTTAACTCACTCTGCCGAGATGACGTCATTTACTGCAATTAAAAGTGTTCGAAAATCTGACGTCATCGCGTTGGTGCGTTTTTATGACGTCATGTGGGGCTCAGTGGGGACGTCACGTGGCTCGCTCGCTGTCACGTGCGCAGAGGTATTCAATCTGCGGCTCTTTAAGGAACGCTTCGTGACTCCCCGGCACTATAATTGCAAAGTGAAAAAAAACACTCCTAACAACAATGATTTGTAACGCGGTAATTACAAATCGTTGCGCGCGTGCTTTTCTTAAAAGTGATTACAAAAAATATGGTTTTCATGTTATTCATTAAGTACCGTCTTGTATTCACACGCATTGCGGCTTTCGAAATATATAGGGTTTTTATTACCGAATTCGAAGGAAATGGAACTTATTATTATTTTGTTTGCCGACCCATTGCGCGTGCGTGACCGCGTGCCGAGGAGACGGAACGAGAAGCACGTGGACTAGAGACGTCACACAGCACACGATGGCTACGCCACGCACGTGCTTGTCTCATCGACGGCGGAGCAGCAGCCAATTGAAGGGATTGTGCCCACGGAGGGTGACGTCCGCCGCAGAGATGGATCGTGGAGCGATGAAATCGCCTCGCGTGTGTAGACAGATCCTCGATGGGATGCTGTTGCATCGCGAGACCGTGAAGGATGTTGGCGATGGCATTGGGACGTCTTCGTCCAGCGGTGAATCGAGCATAAGGTTTTCCTCGGTAAATAGGCATAATAATAATATTGGTTGATTTTGATGTACAGGAGACCCTGGAATATCGCGGGGTTATCTTTCGCGACCTGTCTGTGCCATAATTTTAGCTTTCGCGGGAGTTTTGGCCTTTCGCGGGTATGCTCTATCCGGAAGTACTGTGTATCATGGGGGGCGAGGGACGCGAGGCACCTCAGCCTTTACCATGCAAATACAAAGATCCCCCGTATAGCATTCACAGACCTGTTGGGCAAAGTGCTGTTAGCGAGCACCTATGAAGGCGGGCACGGCACACGCGCGGGTGAGTGGCCAGCACCACGCCCGACCACCGTTGTCTCCCCGTTGGCGATGTTTTAAGACACCGCACCAGGTACTCATTTGAGGCTGAGTCGACCTAGGAGAGGCCCGGTTAAGATAATCGTTCCTAGCGTTGGGGGTGAGCGGGAATCGAACTCGGGTTGCTGGGTTTGTAGCGCAGGGCGCAAACCGCTACACTGCCGCTCTGGATCCCACTCGCGAACAAATGCACACAACCCGCTTTGGATGAGAGTCATGGGGCAGTACAATATTCATTCAGTATTTATACTTTGATTTATTGTCGCAGAATGATTTTTGTATTGGGTTTTCACATGTAAAAAAAATGCATACAGTACAGTGCTTATTAAAATTGTGATGTGTTTACTTTTGGCTGCCGTGTACCAAACCCCATTATTTAGTTGAGGCTTAAGTATTGAATATCACGGTTTTGGCTTTCGCGGCACTTTCCGCGATATTCAAGGGTTCCCTGTATGCATGTTGATCTTCTTTCGCAGCGAACGTAGCCAACCCTGCTAATTGGAGGTGCAGAAGAAGGATGATGACAGTACGGTTCCCCGCCGTAGGAATGTGGAGTTTCCACATTCCAATGCTCCCTGGTCACGGCTTGAGCAGGGAGACACTGAATCGAAACTAATCTCAGTACAAATTTTGACTTAAAACTTTCGTGACTGCAGGAATGCATATTCTGTGATTCTTTCGGTAAAGTCACGTAGATAGAAAAATAAAAAAAAGTTAATAAAAATAATACAAATAAAATAATAAAAAAACAAAAACCATTCATGTAGAGTGACTGTAGCCTGGTTCTTAATCGGAGTGAGTCTACTGGCAGTCTATATTGTAGACTGTAGCCTGGTCTCAGTATGGCGTGTGTGCCTGTATAACAAGGTTGTTGGATCACGAAGATATGTCACGGCTGTCTAGAAGGTTGGAGGCTTACAGGCTTATGTGCTCATCTTCATATTTGTCCTCTCTTATGAGCATTTTTTTTATTTGTTACTACGTACAGTGACGTGTGATTCACTCCTCGAGTTATAGGGTACAACAAAAAAATCAACGTAGGAACTGAGCAGAGTGTTGTGAGCTTGGGTCAAGTAAAACAAGTATCTGCAATATTACTTAAGGGTGGCTTTACATTATAAGCTATTTTTGTGGGTTCGGCACTTGTTGGTACGTATATAGAACGTGTTTCACACCATACGTAGCTAACCGTGTTAGAGCTGCGGGGAAGGACGATAAGCTAAACACAAAAGCAGTTCTAAAGAAATGAGTTTTCAATCTAGATTTAAAAGTGCATAGCTCCAGTGGCTTCCGAATATGGGAAGGAAGAGCATTCCAGACGGCCGCAGGAAGCCCATCTGAAAGCGCGCGATGCGGTTGACTTCTAAACCATGGGGGTTGTTTGACCATACTTCGCCATGCCGGTCAATTCGGGTTGGTGAAGCGTGATTCCAGGACCATTATTACATGATCACTCGCCATCATGTTAAATTACCGGGTGCATAGCGCAATGCGCCGACCAAGGCACCGCCGCTCTCCCCATTTAAACCACGCGTGTTCCACTGTAAAGTGCTTTGCGACCGCTCGGTGTGAGTTGTAAGCGCACAGTAATCCCATGTGTAATTGACACGGCGGTCTGTTTAAATCCCGAGTCGTGTTAGGGTCGTGGAGGTTCACAGCCACTCGCAGTGCATTCACCTCTGTCTGCCACTCACCCACACAGCCGCCCGCAAGTCGGATAACATAACCACCTTTCAGAGTAATCATCACCAGCAGCAGCCACGGTCCATCCACTGCTGGTTGAAGGTCTTCTTCCTAAGCCGCTGCCACCTCGCGATCTTGCACTGTGCAGTTATAATGATAAACTTCACCTTCATGGGGCTCATTTCAACACTCCATATGTGATGTCCTTAGGGGCCGTCCATAAATGACGTCACGCATCTAGGGGGGGGGGGTCAGACATTTGTGACGATGTGTGACGAGGGGGGAGGGGGGTGAGAAACGTGGCGTCACATCAAAATGCGCAACTTTAAATAAATATAGACAACACGTTCTACTTATATTCTTGGTTATTTCGGTAAAGTCACGTAGAAGGGAAACAATAAAATAATAAAAACATAAAATTATAGAATTCTCACGACGTTTCGACTGCAACACAAGCAATCATCATCAGGTGTGAAAACCGTGACTTTACCAAAAGAACCAATAATATGAATCCCTGCAGTCACGAAAGCTTTAAATCACGTTCTACTTAATTAAATAGACTTTTTAATAAATGTTTTCTCCTACAACATCAGAGTGCAGCGCCACATTAAATACGCACTACAATGACAATAGTTTAAAGCGATTTGAAGCATGTTTTTTTTTGGGGGGGGGGGGGCAGAGCGTTGTGACGTCATATTTGAGGGGGAGTGAATTTTTGTGACGCCGTGTGACGAAGGGGGGGGGGGGTCAAAAATCCAGTGACGTCATTTATGAACGGCCCCTTAGACCAGGAGTGGAAAGAGTGTGGGGGCACGGGGTACCTTACCCTTACCCCCCCCCACCCCCATGGTAGCCAAGGCTACGAGTTGACAACCACAATGAGATACGGTGTTCAACAAAAGTGTAAAATAACAAAAAAACATTTAAAACGCCGTCTAAATGTATCGTGAAAAATGCTTTCATTCACGTTGCACGTTTTGTTTAAATTTAATTAGAGCAGTAACGTAACATTGCAAAGAGGTACTACTACTACGGGACTGTAGCGGCTGCATTTTGCGAAGACGGAGTGCGCACCCTACAGCGTTAAATGTTCGAGACCGTGAGCGTAGCGACGATGTGCTAAGGCAAGAGGAAGCCGCGATATGTAACAGCCTAGGTGCGACCGTGCGAGACAAATAACATATTGATTGGTTAATCAATTTTAACACTCTATGTATGATTATTGAGATATTCGTCAAACAGAAACGTGTGCGTGTGCTGGCTGCAAAACAAATTGTAACACACGCAGCCCACACGCACTTTCACGTCCGATAAGTGTCTCACCATGTACAGACATCGTTAGAATTAGTGACTGCCAAACTGTCCCCACAGTGATCAGAGACGACTCGTCCACACCAAGACCCTGCCGGGCAGCTGTAGGCAATGTTGGTGGCCACACTGTGCTGGTGAATCCTAACAAGGGTGAAACCGGAATGCAGTTGTAGCATTGTCCTGCCGCTTTGAAAAACAATACGGCCACGACTTTGACTGATTTGAGGTGGTGGTCCAGGACAGGGTTGTGCATGTTACGTATTTTTTCACTCCAGCGCTGTCCGCCAAACAGTCTCGTCCCTTCACCTGATGAAGACCGCTTGTGTTGTGGCCGAAACGTCGTGATTTTTGTTATTTTATTTTTTACCTACGTGACTTTACCCAATAGAACCAAAGAGCATGTTACGTATGTTGAACTTCTTCGTACCGTACGGAGACAACCGCGCTAATCGGAGCGTGGTCGCTGTACCGTGCCAGGTTGGTGACCCGTGGCAAGCAGGGCATTGATATGAAGGCCCCCGGGAATCAACGGTCACAATTCCACCTCTTGTTTCCTGGAAGTCACCGATAGCGTGCAGCATTACTCTCAAAAGTGTTGCTCGCGTCGTGTTACCCACGATCACACGGAGATAAACCGAGAAAACGCACGGCATTATAAAAAAAAAGTCAATGGAATTGAGTGGGCTTGGGCAAGACACGTGCCTAAAAGGGACGATGGAACGATGATAACGGCGGAGTGGCAACCAAGGGATGGTACGCGTCTGAGTCAGTGGCGTAGTAACGACATCGTCATCTCAGGGGGGTGCGGCAATCGTCAGGTGGGGCCCCAATATTTGATTTGTCTCGCACGGTCGCACCTAGGCTGTTACATATCTGGGCTTCCTCTTGCCTTATCACATCCTAGTGCTCAAGCCCTGTGTCGCGCCAACCCGAAAGAATGGTTCTGCTTGTCTATCTGGTTACACTGTCATGACGGCAACATAGAAACACGCGTGCGGTGCGCAATTTGCGGAAGCCAAACGTTACTGCTCTCGTTAAAATAACATAAAACGTGGAACGTTTTGTTGTTCACTGTTGTTGAAACCATATCTTTTGGTGGTTGTCAGTTGTCAGGGGGGCCTCAACTCGTAGCTTTGGCCAGCAGGGGGGGGGGTGGGGGGTAAAGCTGTCCCACGCTCGTTACGCGACTGCTCTCATCTCTGTGTTCTGAATCGCCAAGAGTTCTCAGCGCTCAAATGAGCGTTGAGCGGTGCTTACCCGTCCTGCAGGTCCAGAGACATCAGTGGAAATTCCACAATCCTCTGTCGGGGACCAGTCACTCCAGAGGACTATAACTGTGAAATTCCGAACGAGTGGTTTACCACCTGCAGATGGGTGATGGTGTGATGGGTTTGTGTCAACCAAGACTGCAATTTGAACTCAGGCTCTTGCAGGAAGGACCTCTACCGAACATCACGACTGAGTTACGTACAAGTCATTCCAGCTGAAACACAAGAGGAACATCGCAACTACTTTGGTTTTGGTTCGTTGGTCTGTGGGTCCATTGGTTGGTTCTAGCCGACGTGTTGAACTCGAGGGCCACTCCTGAAGTTCGTCCAATGGTTTGAGAGTCGGACCGAAGATCGACACAAATTAAACTGACAGGAGTTGCACCATTGTGTGTTGTGGATAATATGATAC